TGAATACGCTAATTTCAGGAATTACTGGTCCGATATGCAAATTTATTTTTGTGTTAATAGTCCATTTATCGATGAAGGCAATATGCTATAAAACATCACGCTACGAGCAATCGGCGCCGAGCGGGGCGGGGAAAACCGCGATGGAAAGTAGCCAGTCAATGATAAACCAAATCATCAAACGACCCATCTGCACCCTATACTTACCTATCTAAGAACGAATGAACTAAATATATGTATAAAGTAATATAATATAGCTAGCGACCCGCCCCGGCTTCACACGTGTGCAATATGCATGTATTATACACAGAACATGTATTTTCTGTTTCTGTCAAGAAGATTTATATGTTCTGTGGTATTATACATATAAACCTTCCTTATTGCATTTACCTTAACCTTCCTTTTGCTTATTGCATTTTTTTATAACAGATAGAGTGATTCTTAGAAACACTCTATCTGTTATAAACAAATGCATCAAAATCCATTGCGTAGTTTTGAAGATCTAAGCATACATAGTGACATACAGACGGCGGATAGCGACTTTGTTTTATACTATGTATGTAGTGATATAGGGCTTTATTATCACTATAAGTGATGTGTGCTATGTGCAAGCTCTTAGTTCTCCTTTCAATTCATGCTTTCATATGAAAATGTATCTCGAATTAGGATCAAAGGCGAGAGACGGTTTTCTACGAACAACGATCGGGCATGTTAGCATTTGTATGCTTCACGCTTCACCCTCATGAAATGAGCTCCAACTATAATATTACAGTCCATGGTCCTTAATAGTTCATTCACTTCCCTTATATTAAAATCATTCGTTCGTTCACTTGCTTCAATCCGTAGTGAACGGCATAAACATCGATGTTTGTCTAATTGTATTTGTGACTAATCGGTCATATGTAAGTTCAAACTTAGATATTTAAATTATTGTTCTGGATAGCGCATCGAATTTGTCACAATCAACACAAGAAACGGTGAAGAAATACCTACGAAGAATAGCTTAGTATACATTTTTTTTTGTAAAATTAAATTTTTTGACTGAAGACATTTTCTCGTTGTCCAATATAAAAAAGTAAGTACTATCTAGTTATGAACAATGTGAAATTTGTGAATTAATATATGCAACTTAAAATTAACTTAAACTACTTAATATTAATATTATAGATACAAATAAATAAAAAATAAAATATTTACATCTTAAAAAAAATTATAAAATTTCTAAACAATGATTCTAAAGATCATTGAAAAACAAAATACATAAACAAAGGTAATGCACAAATAAACAAGTGTGTTTCTTTTTCCCTTGGTCATGACATCACGCGTGAATGGCTGGACCGATTTCACTAATTATTTTTGTGTTGTATTTGTTATTATTAGGAGAAGGTTGGAGGTTGGTTGAAGGAACGGGAGAAAATGGGATTGCGCGCACGAAGTCACAGGCAGATGCTAGTAACCAATAAAGTTTGACTATACCGGACGGAAGACTGAAGAAGTTCAGTTTAATAAAACTAAATTTAAAATTGGTATTACGTATACTCGGTTATCAATTTGGAGTCAGTCCAGAATTTAAGTCCATTTGGAGATTTCAGAAACTGGGATCCGGATGCCAATCGCTGCCCTTACAATATAGCCGGACCGATCTTGATTTTATCTACTGCAATGGTTATTTAGTCTTCATAAAATGGACCGTTTACTAAAGTAGACGTAGAAATGGCTTGCACCTTCTAGATCTTTTTACATCTGTCTTGTTTAATACTCTGTGCACACACTTGGAATATTGTTGGTTCTTTCATTAGATCGCGAATGTTGTTTAGGTCTCATGATACCGTTGAGACTATTTGGACGTTGTTTAACGACGTGTGATCCCAGTGTGACGTGGTAATGTTCTGTCTCTTACTAAGGTCATTAGAAGGGCGAGAGGATAATGAACATTGATGTAGGTTCCCCTCAAGCGTGACGTTGCTTTTGAATTTAGAGACGACGAATCTGAAAAGGATTTAGACGAATTTTGTGTTTGTTTTCTTCGGAGCTTTTGTTTGACTATCTTGTGAATAATGGCAGTACTTTTCTTTATTTTTTGTTTCTCTTTGTGCTAATATTTTGAACTTATGAGACTAAATAATTCTACAGCCTAATTAGTAATTTTGACACAAATTGCATTTGAGTTCTACTTTTACTATATTGAAACAACACATTACATCATAACATCACGCCTTTAACCCCGAAGCGGTAGGCAGAGGTGCACACAGAAGTGACATCCACTTTTCACTATTTATGTTACGAGTCCCATGTAATAGAGGGTGAGCCTATTGCCATATTACTGGGCACATTTCCAGACTCCGTGCTACTCCTAAGATTTTTTTTAAACTCAGTAATTCTCTGCCCTACCCGGGTATTGAGCCCGAGACCCCTTGCCCGGCGGTCGCACTTGCGACCATTCGGCCATAGAGAAAGTCTGTACATCAGTACCTACTGAAACAACTGATAATTTTATTTTGTACCCCGCTTCAAATACTTGCCTTGTATTTTTAAGCGAGCAATCAATACCGTATTGATTGCTTGCTTACAAATTCTAAGTAATTGTCTAAGTTACAGAGTAAGATTTTATTTTATAACTAGTTCATTTAATATTTGTCTTCTGCAGTATTTCGGCCGTAGGTACCATATCCACCATTGTATCTATTCCAAGAAAATCATAAATAAACTATGAACATAACTCCAAAACGATGTTAAAAGACCGTATCATAATTATATTACTCACATTACTAATTATTCTATCATAAAATTACACCGACTTATATTTTAGTAACGTTTATTAAGGTGAGTTAAGATTAGATCTGTAATGTAATTATTTTAGCAATTTATTACTTGGTAACCGAAGACTTATGAGAGGGTTTTGAGGGTTTGAAGGTACCTTCCGTCCTGTTAGTAAGGTTTGTGGTTGCTCGAACAAGTGTCGCCATGTTCGGAGTGGGTAGCCTCAAGCCACAGACTGCTACGTTTGCCGTCCATCTTAACGTTTATTGGTCATTTATTAAGTCACGTTGAATAATTTAAATAGGTTTGTTAAGGTTACTATTTGTCGTACTAATTTATTAGGTATACTAATCATTTGAGTAACTAGTAATTTAGTAATACATTTCAAGTATGAGAATTATAAAAAGCCATACTTTTTATAATTCTCGTTAAAAAGCCATGCTTCGGCACGAATGGGCCGGCTCGACCGGAGTGATACCACGGTCTCACAGAAGACCGACGTGAAACATCGTTGTATTGTGTTTCGTCGTGTGAGTGATGTTACCGGAGGCCCAATTACTCCCCCCCCCTTTCCCCAATCCCTAAAGCCCCGACAATCCTCAAATTCCTATACCAGAAGGCCGGTAACGCACTTGTAACGTCTCTGGTGTTCCAGGTGTCCATGGGCGACGGCGATTGCTTACCATCAGGTGATCCGTCTGCTCGTTTACCGGCTTATCCCAAAAAAAATCAAGAAAGTAGAAATTGTTATGGAAGTTATTCAGTCTTTATTTTATTGGTATGATAGCGATCTGGAATCAATAAATCAATATTTTAAAATTAAGCTGGTTGTCACGCTTATCTTATCTTATTTTATCTTCACTAATGATCTAACTTTGCTTCGAGGAGATGCAATTATGCTTAAAAAATATTGGTTACCGATGTCCACTAACACTATTTAATATGCGTGAAATATCAAGCTTATTGCCATTTTAGTAAATACCAAATTGTATTAAACTCAAACTCTAAACCAGAGTACTACTAGCTGTTGCTAGCTGGTACTTTTTTGTATCAATTTATCAAAATCAAAGTAGCCTATTTCTATTTTACTCCTTAACATGCCTTAGTACATCAGCTTTTTATCAAAAAAGTCTCATTAAAATCGGTTGAGCCATTCCAGAGATTAGCCTGTACAAACAGATAGACAGAGAGACAACAATTGTAAAACAAATGTTTTGGTCACATACGAAAATAACATTTGTATTAAGTGCAACTATTATATTTTTTTTCATACATGCACCTGCGTGTGTGTGTATGTATACTTGTATACACATGTTTTTGTGAATAAATTTGATTTGATTTCAATTGTAATCGTACATATAGTAAAAAACGGTTATTTTAATATTACAAACAGACACTCAACTTTATTTATCTGTATAGATAAGTTAACTAAAAGTAATCGTGTTAAACTTGTAAGCATTTTCAAACTTGCCAACTTCACTCAAAGAGGAGGATCGGTACAATCAGACTTGCGGTGTGTTACAAACGTGTCTCGCCCTCCCTTCTATAGGGTGAGGTGAACAACTCGAGACTTGCGAGTAAAGACAGATATACATTACCGTGGCGTGACGTGACGTGCGCGCCCTGGCCACCAATCGGCTGCAAGCATTTGACGACCCATGGCCCACAAGACACAACACGACATTTATTTTTTATGGTGGAAATCGTCCTTTACATCTCTCGTCTTAGTTAGACGAGAGGGAGTCTTAGACTCTTACTAACTACAAACCACATCGTTCCTACTTCTGCTTCGGAATTCCGGATCATACGACTATACTATCTGTCCCTAACCATAGTATATTATATTATGAAACCGATATGCTTCTGGCGCGCCACGACATGACACGCCACGGCAATGTATTTCTGCCTTTATGCCTTTGTAGTGGGGTGTCCAACATTTATTAAAAATTTGGTGTAACTTGCAAGTTTATGTGTCACTTTCTCTGTAGTATTTTTCAGAACTTTAGAAGTTTTCGTGGTTTTATTTCACTATGATATTTTCTTTGTTTATCAATCTGCAGGGTTCGGTTTCATTATGCTCTTAAATTAAAATTAGTAAAATGATTGAAGGCATAAGGACTAGGTACCCATTGTAGTGACCATCATTACACATAGGTATTCGTTCCAACAAAATTGTGAAGTGAAAAAAACATAATACTAAGTCCTCAACGTAAAATTTTATGACAAGAAATAATAGAACAATATAAAAAGTAAGCAGTCTATTTATTTCATATCCACAGCCGATATTCATGACTTAAACAATCCAACCCTTCACCGACATATTCTAAATATCAGATATTTTTGGTCATATTTCTTGTAGTTTGTTCATTTAAGCAAGAAGCTTTTAATACAATAGGTTTCATAATTGTACTTTTAAAACTGTTTATAAATGTACTCTAATAAATATACAAATTTATTGAACCTTATAAATTATTATCGTCAGCCTCGCATTGCAATAACAGTAAGTATTATTTCTTCAATTACATTAACTTGTTTGAATAATTTAAACCTTATTTCGTCGCCTTTACATCTCTAAAGTTGTTTGGGCGTTTTCGTATTAATTGCTTACTAGCATTAATTATTGTTTCGTAAAAAGTATTCGTTTTAAATTGAAATTCGAACTTTTCACAATGTTCTAGAAGTACCGGGTACAAGTATTTGAGCTCCGCATGGTCTAGTGTCGGGAACAGGTGATGTAGCGCATGGTCACCGAAACGAGTAATCGATTTAAAATGGTTGCCCGCATAATCGATTCTCTCGCAAATCGCATCCAGCTGATGAATGCCCCAATCGATATTTTCGTCTCTGAAAAAGAAAGATGGTCTTTAATAAATCAGTCGATGTTTGTAATAAATAAAAATGGTTGCCCCGGTTCAAAGTCAACCGCAAGGTTCAAAAGATTTTTTTATTTAATTTAGATAAATTCGTCTAGTTTTTCTATTCACTTATAAATTATTATTTACAAGTCGATGCCTTCTAGACATTGACATGAAAAGGATTTGGAAAATTTATTTTCGTGGAATACTATATCTATTGGAAGATGAAAGATTTGATCTGTATGGATAGGTCTAATGTCTATTCGCATCATCGATCATGTTGATTTAGGTCCCTACTCGTACTCGATGGACTTACATTAGATATTGTTTGTACATATTTCATTAATAAAATAATTTATTTGTAATTCATAGTGGTTTCAGTGACATTTATTATTGTCATTTACCAATTAAGTCCTTACTGTGAAAACAGTAGGTTGATAGATAGTGTAATGAATGAATAATTGAAGAGTATTCTGATCGGAAATTCATAGATTCTCTGAATCAGGTGTCTGAAACTGTGTTCATAGTAGAACTTTATTCTAATTATGTGAAAGGTGCAGTTTGTGAATAGCCAGAAGTTTACACTGTTTGACTCGGAGGTTTTCATAATGAAAGTTTCAATGGACTCCTGGACTTAATTTGGTATACAAATTGGTTTTCGAGTTCGATTCCCGGGTCGGGCAAAGTTTTACTGGGTTTTAAAAAAATCTCAGTAGTAGCACAAAGTCTGGAATTGATTGTGCCCGGTATATATCAATAGGTTCATCTCCTGTTACATGGGACTCATAACATAAATAGTGAAAAGTGGGTGTTCATTGATTGTACCTCTACAGTGGCATTAAGTGCCGTAATTTGAACTTCTGGCTACCCCTTCGGGGATAAAAGACGTGATGTTAGTCATAATATTATTATGAATTAGATTGTAATTTTAAAGTAAACACCAAAAAAATCTCATAAATTATATCTGAATTTAAATACTAATTTAATTTTAACGTATAATGTAAATTTTGGCCACGTTATTTAAAATGTACCTATTTTCAGTTTTCTTATTACTCTTACTATTATTATTCTTTATTACACTACTTGCAACTTTATGTACTTATGTAAATTATTTCTTAGATATTATTATGAGAAACGTGAACAAAAAGAAAATATCGCCTTTTTGATAGAGTTATCATCACGATTTTCTGACTAGTATGAAATACCTAATTTATTTGTTATGTAACTAGTTGAGTTCGTCGTCAAATTATTACGTGAGTAAGCCGAAAACATAATAATTAATTTAGTATGTTTCACGAAAGTTACAATACAAATACCTAATTGTTTCTTAATTCAGACAAATGTTGAAGTAGGTGATTTATTTAAATTATTCCCAAAAAAAAAAATTCGTTACTATTCATAATTTCAATGAAAAACAAAATAAAAAAGTCACCCTCTATTTCCACGGGTCACAGGAGTCGCACATAATGCATATTTGTCTAGAGACAGACAGATTTTTTAAAAGAGACGGACCTCTGAGTTTATTTCGGCATTACTTTTCAGAGTAATTCAATTAGGAAATGTCGGTCTCATCGTTCGCTTGATAAAATTGACGTGTTAAAGTGCTGCCTTATAGCCTATTTGGAGAAATAAATTCACATGTTTCATGACCTTGACTAGTCAAAACTGAATGTAACGCTGTATAAATATGTATACTTCCTACTCTGATCTCGCTTTCCATTATGAAATTAGCACTAGATAATAATAAAATATATTTACCTAGGAACATCCCCTTCAAAGAAGTTTCTATGGTTATGATGACCAGCTGTTAACCCGTAGAAAACGAAGAAGAAACTAGCTGGTACCATAGTGGCTAGCCAGAGAAGAATAGTCCAGTGTAAAGGCAAGCCACCCATTATGTACATCCAAGTTGGAATCAAGAATGGAATCAGATTCTTCCAAGTTAACGTCTTGCCTTCATGGTTCGTTGCACTGAGTATCAACCTGGAATTTAGAAATCGGATTTTATGTAACACTTCTGAAGGTTAGTCTTTGTATGTAAGTAGTTTATCAATTCATCAACAGTCTATCAGTGGCCACTGCTGGCCAAAGACCTCTTCTCACACGGAGTAGGTTTGAGCCTTAATCACCACGCTTGCTCAATGCGGGTTGGCGATTTCACGATGTTTTCCTTCACCGTTTGTCAGTGGTGTCTAGATAATCTTAGAAAGTATAAATATAACTCGGAATTAAAGTAATCATATTATTATTGTTAAAATTACCTTCCCCTTCCCCAATTTCCCCAATCCCTGAATCCCCAACGATCCTCAAACTCCTAATCCCCAAAAAGCCGGTGACGCACTTGTAACGCCTCTGGTGTTCTAGATGTCCATGGGCGACGCCGATTGCTTACCATCAGGTGATCCGTCTGCTCGTTTACCGGCTTATGGCATTAAAAAAAAAAAAAAAAAAAAAAAAAAAAAAAAAAAATTATGTCTCATAATTTAACGAGGTTGAAATCTTATATTCATTATGCAAACGAAGGTGCGCAAAGTATACCTAATTGGGTTTTTGGTTTCACAACCAATAGAACTAAACGTAAAATTGTTTTCGGTGTTTGGTTAACGACCGACCTGTAATAATTAATTAACAGATACCTGGCAAAACCCGGTCTGTAGATGCACATCCTACCTATTCCGACCTCATCGATTATCCTAAAGAATTAAGACTGACCATGACTGCCTCGTTGGCCGAGTGGTCACAAGTGCGACTGCCGAGCAAGGAGTCTCGGGATCGATTCCCGGGTCGGGCAAAGTATTACTGGGTTTTTAAAAAAAAATCTCAGTAGTAGCACGGAGTCTCGAATTGTGCCCGGTAAATGGCAATAGGCTCACCCCCTATTACATGGGATTCATAACATAAAAATAGTAAACAGTGGGTGTTACATTCTACACAGACATAATGTGCACCGCTGCCTACCCCTTCAGGGATAAAAGGCGTGTTGTTATGATGTTAATTAAGCTATCAAAAACAAAAAATCGTGTCTCTATTGTACTTCATAATAGGTAGATATACAAAAAATAACACATTTGTATTCCTCATTATTGTGTAACAATGACGTACTTAAAATAAAGTAATGTACAAATGGAATGTCAAAGGTGAAAACCAAGTATCACGTGTACCTACAACTACAAATGCTTCCAAAATTAAGGTATGTAGTCTATTAAATTATACAGAAATCGTACAAATATATTCCTGTACAAATAACTGGTGTTCTCTAACACTGATTTATATTGAATTTGGATAACTTTACTTCTTGTATTGTCTTTTCTATTTATCAATAGCGACCCGCCCCAGCTTCGCACAAATGCACAATATGCATGTGTTATACATATAAACCTTCCTTCAGAATCACTCTATCTATTAAAAAAACTGCATCAAAATCCGTTGCGTGGTTTTAAAGGTCTAAGCATACATAGGGACAGACAGACGGCGGATAGCGACTTTGTTTTATAGAGGTACTATGTAGTGATTATCTTTAGCTCATTTCTATTCACAATTTGACATACCTATATCTTTTCAAAAACAATGCATTGAGTTCTATTTTCATCTTTACGCATCCAATCACATCATCCCTTCTTATTCTATACTATTCAATATATCATGTTTATCATACTGATCATATATTTCAACTCATAATCATTCTTCAACTTATTCACCATACTTTTTAGTTACCTCCATGACTTTCATCCCTTCCTCCAATACCCACACGAAGGGTATCTACTAAAAGTAACAAAACTGGAAAATTTTATCGAAGTCTTATATAAAATCAAACTACACCCGGATTATCCAGTTAACACGAAATTTGATTGTATTGTACAGGTAGTTTAATTGGGTCCAACAATATTTGGGAACGAGGTAAGTTTTTGGCTTTAATTAAATCGGGTTTTAGGTACGATTTCCCCTCTAAATTGGTTACAGATTCGGCTTATAGACTGTACGAACATAAATTGGTACGTTTGATCGTTGTTATTTTAAGCAGCTATTTAAAAATCATCTTACGTCTTACTAAATTATAAATGTGTAAGTTAGAGAATTTGTGTGTATGTTTGTTGATCCATCAAAACGGGATCACCATGTAATTTGGAACAGAGGTGGATTATAGTCTGCAATAAACATAGGCTATTTTAATAGGGTATATGCCTAATTTTTATTATAATGTCCATCTGGTAGATTATTTTAAATCATTAGACACGTATTTTTTATTTTCTTACAGAAACGAATACTTTCGACGGTATATTGATTTCAAATGTCGCGTGACGTCACTTCTATGTACATTTTATACGTAGAAATGACGTTTTAGCCCCCATTCCTAAACTTTGATTTGTTTTGTATAATGATGTTGTTTTATATAAGTATTGTTTTATTATACGACAAAATAAATAAATAAATACGTGTCTAATATTTTTTAATTACCTAACTTACAGACTAATTACATTTTTTATTTTCATACCCTGTCATCATATGAGTGGAACGCAGGTGCAGCTGCGAAGCTGCTAATTCTTCTTCTTTATAGTCTCTACATGACTTATTGTTTTGTTATAAGTATTTATATAAGACAGGTTATTTTTATGCAATATGAAGTTTCCTTAACTATATTTGCGTAGGTAGTTCTAAGAAAAACGACAACATGAAATCGTTGTAATGACAGTACTAGTCCAAGCGTGAATATTTTTTATCATATAATAAGTTCGAACTAAACATGTTACTCTAGTAAATTCAGAATTGAAACTTACATTTTAAAAGTACCTATCAGTTGAGTTTCCGAAATGTATCAATGCTGGGTCTGGCTTTTGCTTGACTGAGATTCAAGGCTTAAACTGTCAAACTCCAAGCGGTCACCGGTGACCGCAACCTATTGTTCTTTAATTGTGTCTATAATGACGGTACTCGACGAGTTAAATAAGTATTATTTGCGACCTCTAACTAATTAGTGACAAACTAGTGTTTTAGGTCAACTTGCAATACTTCATGTGTCATTTTTTAACTTTATTGTGTCGCAATTAAGTCTAATTTTCAAGAAGTTTAGTTGGTTGAAATAGGTACTGGTAGAGCTACCACTAGGAAATTTATAACTTTTTTGTTGTAGGTCATTATGGATCTCGAGGTCTTTTGGATCAGCAAAAAGTTTGCGTAGATTTTTTGACATCAATTTTAAGCAACGAATGCTTTGATATCGAACATTATTTAAGTACAATGTTCTTTATTTAAGTATGTTATTGGGTGCATGAACTGAGAAATACATACAATACAGGCTATGATAAGATAAATAGGTATATTATGCCGATTAGGTAACGAGTGCACAGTATTGTCAATGAGACATATTTTAATTTAAATTGTAAACGGTATAATTTTAAAATGAAACAAACATGAAACGATGATAAAAGTAATTGGGTATTTTCCTTAATCAAAAATAAATGAATTCGACCGTTAATACAATACAATAAAATATTAAAAAATAATTACATTTTCATTAATTGGTTTTATGAGCAAATTAAGAAATAAGTATGCTGTTTGACGTTGAAAAAAACGTGACGTCACAATACACAATCTTTCGTACAAAATTCATAGAAAACTGTCGTTTTTGACAACTCGAAAAAAGTATTGAATTTGACTAGTTGTTAAGTACTCAACTCTGACTGTTAAGTACGTAACATAGTAGAAAACATACACACATATACATATCATAACGACAGCCTATAGTGTCCACTGCTGAGCAGTGGCGTCTTCTCAATCGGAGCAAGAATGAGCATAAATCATCATGCTTGCTCCCTTGAGCAAACTGCCTTCAGTTTGGTGATCTTAGGGAAACATAAGTAAAATTGTGTTCAAAGTAAAGTAACTATTAGGTATACGTAAAGCTAAATTAAAGGGCGTAGTACAAGTTTATTTTATGTTGAACGAGATCAAAACGTTAGTTCTCTGATTGGTTGGTTTATTGGAGCCGGCCAATCAGAGCACTGAACCCGTTGAACGTAAAACAAATTCGTACTAGACCCTCAGAGCGTAGTACGAAGTAATAAATAAATAATACTTACTCGTGACCCATAATTGAAAGTAGGGACGTAGCGTAAACGAGAGGATAGTAGAAAGCACCCATTTGTGCCCATATAGGCTTGTCCTTATATGGTATGAATTGAAGAAAAGGTTCTATCATGGAAAGCTCAATATCCTGAGCAGTGTTCGTGTGTAGGTGATGAGACATTGAATGGGAGACCCTCCAGTCACTGAAAAATATGATAAAGAATTAAATATGTGATAAAAGCACTTTATATTCAGGTGCATATTTATTTCTTTGTTATTCGTAATTAGTACTAAAAGCAGAGTTTAGATAATACAGATTGCGTCGTTGGCCGTGTGGTCGCAAGTGCGACTACCGGGCAGGTAGTCTCGGGTTGGAAGAAGGGTCGGGCAAAGTATTATTGGGTTCTGGATTAGGGTCACCCCCATGTAATACCCTTAAAAAAATACATGGGACTCATAACAGAAATAGTGAAAAGAACAAAAAACATTGTACATTGACATTAAGTGCCGTGCCGTAATGTGCACTTCTGCCCACCCCTTCGGGGATAACAGGCGTGATTTATGTTATGTTATATGTAGTTTAGATAATGATTACTGCAAGTTTTGACTGCTAAATCTAATTTCGGAGAAAATAATTATTAAATTGTAAGATTAATAAAAATTCAGGAAGTCAGTAAGCAAGACCGAGATAAAATACTATACAATAATAATTATCGAAGATAAATAGGTTTACCTAAATTACAATGCATTAAGAAATACATTTCTAAAATACCTGAGACAATTTGTTTCCCTTGATTTACCTTAAGGAAACCGAGTTAAATAGTTCAATCTTATCTTGAACAGTGTAAAGTAAATAATTTATTCTGCTAATTGATCAATTAAAACCAGTTACAACTCAAGCAAGTCGTTGGTATTAAGTGTTTTAACTACAGTTTGAATAGGATGGAAACTTGTACCGAGACTTCTGTCTGCGGAGAAGATGGTTCGAGTAATACTTGTTGTTGTATCTACGAAAGATTATTTTACAAAAGAAGGTCGAAGTAGTTTCAGACCTTTATTTAAAAAAGTTTTAGGAAGATATCTATTACAACTCATCATGTTAGTGTGGGAGAGCTATGCTTCGAATGGGCCGGCTCGACCGGTGTGATACCACGGCCTCACAGAGAACCGGCGTGAAACAATGCTTGCGTTGTGTTTTGTCGTATAAGTGAGGTTACCCCAAGCCCAGTAACCCTCGTCCACAGTCTCCCCAATCTCCGAATCCCCCACAATGCTCAAATTCTCAATTCTCCAAACGCTGATAACGTACTTGTAACACCTCTGTCCATGGACGGCGCCAATTGCTTACCATCAGGTGATCCGTCTGCTCTTTTACCGGCTTATTCTATAAAAAAACTCATCCCTCTATTCCTTGGAACTCATAACATATGTAGGTAAAAGTGGATGTTACATTGTTTTTGCACATCACTACCGACCTCTTCGGGGATTAAAAAGAGTGTAATGTTAAGTTCAAATAAGGTTCAATATTACAAACGACCAAAATAATAATGATTGTTATATCTGAGAATGGGTACACCAACTATCTAATAACAAAATAAAACAAAGGTGAAAGTTCTTTGCCAATCTGTCCTGCTTTCACATGTTTAGCCGTTATAAAATTCGGCACACGATATTCTTCTAGCATTGAAGATGGACCGAACAAATGAGGTTCTTACAAAATGTGGTTAAACTATAGTTTATGTATAAAGCAAGGACATTGAAAAAAGGCGGGCGTAGTCGCTTGAAACAACAATTGTGGCACCTGGCTACTACAGACTTACTCGCAGAACATACACACATTGACATGAAGGACATCTGTCATTCTCTTAAGCCTGGTAACGTTACACACACATACATAAATAAACCACTGACATTTTGGTGTTCCCATCATTTCTAAGTGGTGGCCTGGAGGTTTAAGACGGCCGCTTCTCATGTATGAGGATGCGGGTTTGAAACCTACCAAGGGCAAGTACCAATGTGACTTTTTCCGAGTTATATGTACTTTCTAAGATTATCTAGACACCACTGACAAACGGTGAAGGAAAACATCGTGAGGAAACCTGGACTTATAATTTCTAATTATAAGTTTGAAATCGCCAACCCGCATTGAGCAAGCGTGGTGATTAACGCTCTAACCTTCTCCGTGTGAGAAGAGGCTTTGCTCAGCAGTGGGCATTTATAGGCTGTTGATGATGATGA